TCTTGAGCCTTTCTTTTGCTCTTCTCCGTCTACCTCCCCAAATTCCAACAATTAAAACTGTGTTCCCACTATGGACTTTCATAGAGCAACTTTGATAAAGCACAGCGGAAAGAATAGACTACTGTTTGAAACAAGGACTAAAAAAATCCCGAACTGTTACTCAAGTTTTGCGACTAAAGCTATCCACCCACTGGTGGAAATCCAGGGTCAAATCCTGTTTTAACACATTCATTTTAATTGAGGGCCAAACTAGATACAGTGGCAGCAGTTTCACAGGTTAGACCCATGTGTGCTCACAAGAAAGCCCTTATTAAATTCAGTAGGCTTAAGCCCCATTGATTTCAGCGAGCACCAAGTGCCAACTAACTTGCCATGCCATCCTATGTGTGCCCACTCAGAAATAAGCCCTAGTCGTGACTCCAACTATGCTTACAGCCTTATAGTGCAATCCCATGCATGTATACACAGAATAAATTCCCAGAGTTCATGGGGACTTAGTAATTGCAACTATCAGGTGGAAAGGTGATGGCAGGGGATCAAATTTTAAAAGCAATGGGGATTTGTGGAACCCTTCCCTCAATACCCACTACAGTGGTGCCTCGCAAGACGGAATTAATTCGTTCCGCGAGTTTTTTCGTCTTGCGGTTTTTTCGTCTTGCGAAGCACGGTGTCGGAAAAGTTTTGGAAAAGCTTCAAAAATCACCAAAGTCTTCAAAGACCTCAAAAAAGGCTACCACACCGCGTGCTATGAGTTGCTCCTCGAAGTCAAGTCGCAACTGTATTAAAGGTTTTAAGAAAAAGGAAACAAACTTGCAAGACGTTTCCGTCTTGCAAAGCAAGCCCATAGGGAAAATCGTCTTGCGAAGCAACTCAAAAAACCAAAAACCCTTTCGTTTTGCGAGTTTTCCGTCTTGCGAGGCATTCGTCTTGCGAGGTACCACTGTATGTGCTTACTTCTCTACACCTCTTTTCTCCCAGTCAAGACCACTGCTTGCTTGGGCTTAGGAGAAAAATGTCTGGAAAGAGAAACCAGCAGGAGCTTCTATACACTCTCAATCTGTGCAATTCTTTTGTTTTTTAAATACTGTATATTTTTTTCTATTTTAAAGGCCAAGCTACATGTGATGGGCAGTTTTGTGATTTTCCCCCAGACACTTTTCGAAAATAAAAGCTATCGCTTGGGTTGAAACTGAGAATGAGGTGGTGGGAGGGTGGGACGGGTGCTTAACCCTTTCCCTATTTCCTTATTGTTCATTGCAATCATGGTATCGTCCATCATTCAGCTGTCCTCCTCAACACAGAGAAAAAGATATGGGTTCAAAGAATTCCCCACCCTGCAGCCCCAGGAAGTAGTGGGGAGGGTTCTGTGCAGACAGCAGGAAAACAAATGGTTAAGAAGCCCCTCCCTCTGCCAGTTTTCTGCTGCTGATTTCAGACTCCCATTGCTGCTTTTAATAATAATAATAATAATAATAATAATAACAACAACAACAACAGCAACAACAACTGTTGAGAGGATGAATAGATTAACCTTAGAGTAGGAATGGGTGAATCTGTCAGCTTTGGTTTCTCTCCATTTCTCATTTTTCTAATCTTCAGTTTGTTCAGTTTATTATTATTTTTCAGACATTGCAGAAATACAGTTCCCATCGGCTCCAGCCAGTATGGCTACTGACTAGGGATGATAGGAGTTGTAGTTGCACAGGAACACAGATTCTAGAGGGCTGCAAGCTAGCTTCCCCTGCCTTAAGAGAGAAGAGTGAAATGTGTGAACATCAGGGGAGGGGATGGAAACATTTCGTTAAATTTTGGAAAATAACCAGTGTGTTGGGTTTAAACTAGCTAAAACTGCAGGTCTATGAACAACGATACAATGTCACATGCTTCCATCAATTTTGAAAAGATACGTGCAAACGTAAAATAGCTAAGCAATGAAGTGCATAATTATAATGTACAAACGTATAATGCATATTGCCAGGAACAGCAACACATGAACTTGTTTACTTTGTTAACTGAACGGTGGAGGATTATATGGACATGTATTTTTTTTTTTTGTTTAAAATAAAATCAGTTTAAAGGAGAAAAAAGGAAGGGGTATTTTGTTATACATTTGTTACTATTGTTGTTCTTTTTGTTGTTATATCCCACTTTTCCTCACATGTGAAGATGTTCCATTTCAGCTTTCACTCTATATTCCACCTTCAATTTCACAATCAACAACTTTTTTTTGCATCAAAGCAAGTGGTAGTACCATCTATTAAAAAGAGTCTCTTGATACAAGCAATATTCATGTTTTACCAATGTATACATTTACTCCATGAAACGTCCCATGGAAAACAGACACCGTGAAGGACCCCTGGCTCAGAGGAGCAGAGCGAGCTCTGACTTAAAAGATGGAGCAGATCCATCGGATCAGTGACTCAAGGGGGAAAGACAGGCACCAGCAACACAACCAACTATCAATAGTTACTAACTCTGATGGCCAAGCTGTACCTCTAGGGACAGAGTCAGCATGCCTCTGAATACCAGTTGCTGGAAATTGCAGGAGGGAAGAATGCTCTCGCATTCAGGTCTTGCTTGTGGGCTTCCCATAGCCATCTGGTTGGCCGCTGTAAGAACAGGATGCTGGACTAGTTGGACCACTGGCCTCATCCAGCAGGTTCTTGGCCTGAGTCAGAGCCAGAGCAGATCAAGAGCTCTGAAGTGCTCTGCCCTCCAATGCTGTCCCCCCTCCCCAGGAACTGATCTCTCCATGCCCATGTCATTTCATCAATGCAAGGATGTTTTGGAATGGAACAGTGTCTGGGCTGAGCTCCATGCCAGAGACCTGTCCCTTTACAGCCTGAAAGATGCCTAGGAGTTGCAGGGCAGTCCAGGAGTTGCATCACCTCTGAGTGGTAAACTTGCCACGAGAGTATAAAACCTTTCAGGCCACTCTAAGACTTGCTGGAGGGAGCTGCTTACTTGGAGTTCTCCTAGACACTGCATCTTCTGGACTGCCCTGCCCTATTGTACCATGTGGGTGGTGGTGGTGGTTGCTGTTGTTATGGACAGGCTTTTACCATGCTTTCTTCCTCCACTAACAACTGTTCCAACACTCTAGTTCCTTATGTTTGGGGGTGTGCCAAATCTGCCTGAGAACTGTCACTAATTCTCTTTGTGTACTGACTTCACGTTAACCTCAGCCTGCAGGTGAAACCTAGTAGCAACTTTACTTACACCAAGAACTTTGCTTGCTTATGTTACTGGGCATTTGCACACATGAGAGAATCTGAAGGAAATTTAGCTGCTGCCCAGCAAGTCAATAAGGGGTCGGGTGTAGACCCAAAGGCAGCAGGCTCAAGCAGGTTGAGTTACGCTGGCCTGAATTATGGCCTCTGTGCATCCAAAAACTCAAAGGAATCATATATTTGCTCAGAGTGCTTCTTGATGGAGCTACAAGATTGCATCCTCGCTTGATCATTGTTTTGTATATTTCTAGGACACCGTTTCTGTTTTAAAGAAATGTGTAAACCATAAACCGTAAAGTACATTATTACTCTTATTTGCAGGTGCTCTGACTCAGCTACTGTCAGCATCTCCATCAAATGAGAAGAAGATGGAGCAAAGGCATAAACAAAGCCTCTTCTCTCTTCCCCTAAACAGCAAAACAATGCAAGGAGGAAAACAAGAGACATTTAATTCACGAAACGGCATAACAGCCAATTTATTCTTCCTCACAGTTCTGAGAGACAAAGCCATCTTCCTCAACGACTATCAGCACCTAATTATTCATGTCACAAACTGAATCAACAAGGATGAACCAAAATAATGTCAGCTTTGTTGCATTCTTTTGGCTTATATGTTGGATGCAAAATACATCCTTTCTGCTGTCATCCCAGTTCCCTAGACTGGTTGATGAAGAACCCCAATATTAATGGTGCTGTATAGATAGCATATCCATCAATGGTTTTTGTTTTGTTTTATTTGTAAAAATCTATTAGGACTGGTTGAGATTTAATGCTACACTTGTTTTAAATAGTAGGGGTGGCCATGCCCTATGGGATCTTACGTTAGAAAACACTCAATGCAGAAAGCTTGGGATCCTGGCTATGTTCATATCAAGGCATAGATACTTTGGACTGTAACAGCCATCCCGAGGGCACTGGGTTGGCAAAGGCTGGCACAGGTGATCCTGCAACCTGATCCTGATTCCTAAACCTGGTTTCAGCATTAAGTGTAAACCATCTCACAGAAAGAAAACAGCAAGTATTAGGAACTAGTTTGGCAAATGCTGTGTAGCAGTCACCTTTATTGCTTCTATATGACTTAAATAATAAGCTTTGGGTAACAGTTAAAAAAGGAAACAAGCTCTTTCTCTCTCTCTCTATTATAATATTATGTAGGTTGCTTCCACACTAGGATCCTTTAGGGCAGCTGAAGCACTACTTTCCCCCCAATCAGCTGGAAGTGCAATTATAATTGTGGTTCCACAAACCATTTAATACAGCTCTATATTAACGCCCCACAATGCCTGTCTCCACAGCAAAGGCAAAAGTGGATGATTGCAGCCTTGCTGAGATCTTAAGAATGTTTTACTCTGAAGTAAGCCTCATTGAATGCAATGGTACTTATTCACTGTAAAAATAATGCGCTAAGGATTGCTGCCTTTTCAAAAGTTATATATATATATATATTGTTGTTGTTGTTTAGTCGTGTCCGACTCTTCGTGACCCCCTGGACCAGAGCACGCCAGGCACTTCTGTCTTCCACTGTCTCCCGCAGTTTGGTCAGACTCATGTTTGTAGCTTCGAAGACACTATCCAACCATCTCGTCCTCTGTCGTCCCCTTCTCCTTGTGACCTCCATCTTTCCCAACATCAGGGTCTTTTCCAGGGAGTCTTCTCTTCTCATGAGGTGGCCAAAGTATTGGAGCCTCAGCTTCACGATCTGTCCTTCCAGTGAGCATATATATATATATATATATGTGTATATATATATGTGTATATATATATATATATATATATGTGTGTGTGTGTGTGTATATATATATATACATATATATATATATATGTATATATATACACACACACACACACACTTAGCTGAACAGTGAAAATATACACCTTTTCCAAAGAAATGCCAACAGCTGTGAGTTAAATTTAAAAGTTACAGGGAAGGGAAAATGCAAGGTGCACAGGGTCTAGATTACCTGCTGTGCTACCTTGTGGCTGCAGAGGATATGGGGATGGCAGCAAATGGTGACCCTGGTGCTCCCCAACCCCAAGATCGTAACATCCTGTCCAGGCATAGCGCGAGAGCGGGCCACTGAGATAGATGTCCAAAATGCCCAAAAAGCTGCTGGTGCTCAAGGACATTATGCCCCCATCGTCTCTGAAGTGCAGAAGCTGGAGCAAGAGGTAGATGCTCCATCTGAGGCTGCACAGCAACATGCAGGTGTATGTCACAGAACAAGGGAATGGAGAGTTCCAGGGATGAATGAGGGCACTTTCTCACGGCCTCTACCAACATGTAGGGTACCAAAAACAGCCCTTGCTCCTCTAGGAATTTGACTGGCTCGAAGGAGGGGGATTTCTGCTTCTCTCCCTTAACTTTTCTTCCACAACAGCATTGCCAAGTATGTCACCCTAACTCATAAGCCACACAATAGTGCATCAATAGCACTTTAATAGTTTATACATTAAAGTGAGGTGCTTAAACGCCACAGCCACTTGGAAAATTCAGATTCATTTTTTTAAAAAAAGGAAAAAAATGGAATTCAATTAGCTACCAACAAATTAGCAGGGATTCTCTGTACGGATGGCTGAAACACTATACTTCAGATCTTTGTCTATTTCATGTGTTCATTCATAAGACCATTCAGTCTCATTACTGAATTTTTTTAAAAAAAAATCTATACAAAAAGTTGTATTTATTTTAATACATATGCAAATAAATATTTTAGCATAAAACATGCACTTAAATACAGTATGTATTTAATCTCAGTGGATGCATTTCTAAACATCTTTTACCCTAAAAGACACATTTTTAATAGATTTTCGAAACAAAAAGTGCAATGCAAAATTCAAAGAAGTGCAAAACCTGAAGGATAATTACATTCTGATCTGTGTACTAGCCTGTGAGGCATGAATTGTGTCAGCTCACTTTGAAAAAGCAGACCAAACAAAATTCTCCTCCATCTCTAATTCCCTGTAAATTTCTCTGGCAATTCCTGGGAATGAGGACTCGCAAGGAAGCAACCAGAGACAGACAATAAGATAAGGGGAAGGAGACACAAGGAGAGGAAGAGCTGAAGGCTACAATGGCAGTTCTTCTTAAAGATGGATCTTCAAATGCTGTTTAAAAATAGAAAGAGATGGGGTGGTGCATATGTGAGAAAGAAGAGAGAGAAGACGAGAAAGCAAAAAGAAACAAAGACAAGCTATACTGGCGCCATCTTGCCATGTGTGTTGCTGAGTATCCACAACTGCTGAGCAGTAAGCATAGCACTAAATGGAAGGCCCATGTGTATTTATACTATGTTAACAGTGGCTTCTTGGAAAATAGCCCAATCAGTACTACAAACAAAGTAGTATTTGAATCAAACCTAACTTAATCCACAGTAGTTAGGCCAGTGTCAATCTATTGACCCTTTCAAATCAACAGGGAGCTTACAGTCCTTGCGCAAGATCTTCCTGCCTCTAATCAGATTCTTAGTGAGTTCTGGTACCACATACATCAGTTTGCAAACTTCTCTCCTGTGGAAACCAAGATTACTTCTGAGCTGCCCAATTATGCCATCCCAGAAGGTGTGTTTTATAGTCATAATCGAATGAACTGTAGAGGGAGAGACAAATTGCAATTACAGTCTAAAGCAGATGGCGGGAGCCTCAAATATCTTGTCCAAGCAACATACAGACCATAAACTCACTGACATATCTATTTATCTATTTGTATTTTTAGGCCATGCCTTGAGGCAAGGCTCTCCAAGATACTAACAGTAGCTGGGCAAGTCAGGATGTTGATTCCCCTCATGTGATCTCTCCCTGTTTCTCTTTATCTTAGACCAAACAAACAGTATTAACTGGTTATATTTTTATAATGTGTTTCTGACAAAAACACACGCACGCACACCTCTTAAAGTCAATCAAAGCACAGCAACAGTAATAATTTAGAAAAACCCATGAAGGAGAATCATCTATCAAAGAAGGAGAAGAAAATCCTAAAAGCATTCAGTCACCACGCTAAAACGCCATGTTTTGACAAAGCCACAAAAAGAACATAAAGATGGGTGCAGGTAAACTACCCTGGAGACAGGTTTCCACAACATCGGTGCCACAACTGAGAAGGCCCTGGCCTTTGCAATCACCTACCATATATGATGACTAATAATGCTCGGGACTAATGGGAGAATAACATGTTTTCCCAAGGGCCACGTTTACCCTTGAGCAAGCCTCTGGGGATGGACTCATCATGCCAGCAGTGTGTGTGACCAACAGTGGATCTGGTCACCTCACACTTTCCCATGCATTCAAAGCTAGCCACACATGTAAATCAGCAGAAATGGGGGGGGGTATCGCCCCCCTCCCTCTGCTCATCAAATGATTGATCTGATGACTGGGGATGGGGCAATCTGCACTGCCGTCAGGGTGCTGGGCTTTATATCTAGGCTGGGTCTTGGAGGGGATGTAGAAAAAATTCACGTGGGAGGCCAGATTAGGCCCCTGAACTGGGGTTAGCTACTTCTGCTTAGACTCTGGTGTCTTGCCTTCATGTGCTATAAATCCTTTGTTGCCCTGCTCAACTTTTCATTGCTCTATGTGTCCACAAATGGAAACAAGCACCAACACCAACACCATCAGCTCTGAATGTTTAGTTATCATTCTCCACCTGTCCCCATGCATATTAGGAAAATATTTATGCATATGGATTTCCTTTGTATTTGCAGCCTTATTAAAGAAGACTTAAGGTAGAATGATTACGCATTTATATGCATCTCGGTGATTATCATTTGACGGCCTACAGCTGCCAGCAATGAAAACTATTGTGCTCCAGATGACACGAAATATCTATTTGTTAGCATTTGAGCTCTTATGGCTTTTGTTACATAGGCAAGGAATTGTTCAGAGCTAAGGTCACTAAGGGATGGACATGAATGTGTGGACTCAGGCTGAGAAATAGTGGCTTGTCCACAGACAGCTAGTGAACTTTTCAGGTGAACACAGATTTGAACCTGGATCACTCATCCTTCAAAAACTTTCACTATATTCTGGTGTCATCTGAAGACACAATATGCCACAGCAAAAACGTGAGAAGGCACAGGGGTGTGCCATAATCTCTGGGCATGGTCCTTCAGATCTTTATGTGATGAGCACTAAGGTCTGAAGAAGGGTTTTTAAGCATGTTTGACTGGACAGACTTAGAAAACACATGAGCAGATACCCTGACTTTTTAGGGTCCCTGATGACTGGGTAAGTTTCAAAGTGGTTTCAACTAAAAGTACTCAAAAACCTTATCCAGATCTTTGCATAAAAACTGCAAAGCAGCTGGCTTGCCTTGGAATTGTATGCCTGATTTTTTACTGTCCAGCAGTCCCCCAGTTGCTCGCTTTGCATGCTAACATTAATTGTGCTCCTTTCTTCAGGCTAGGTCATCAATTTGAAACTATTTGACTTCATCTGCATGTGGCAAGAGTTGACATTTATGGAAGGCTAGTGTTTCAACCTAGTTCAACCCTAGTGAAGACTACAGTAGTCAATTTATGCACTCTCTATGTGTGACGATACATTCAAATACTATCACCATGCAAAACTGATGTAGTGAAACTATGCGATGCTGTTACCATGTCAACGAGTAATATATGAATCAAGCATCCAGGATGATCACTTGGGGATGACCTGGAAGGTCTTTCTTTTGCTTATGAAGTTCATTCAGATCCAGGTTGCCAGCCCTCCTATTTAGCAATATCTCCTGCAAGGGAAGAATTATGGTCTCCAGTCCAACAGAAGGCATTGCACCTAACTGCCTAAGCATTAGAAATGAGGCCAGCGTTCAAGCTGAGGATCAGCAAGTCTGGATTCAAGGATTAACAAAAAGATCTGTTGCCACAATCACAGAAAATCCCAGTCTTAAAAACAAGGTAGGGTGTCAGTTATCAACAGTGGGAAATGAGAGAGAGGATGAGGAATGAAAAAAGGACAAAAACAAGTATGTGTACAGTGCCACTGTTTCAGCACTGTTTGGATATCATGCTGAACCATGGTTTAATGAACCATGAACAAGCCTAGCCTGCTCTTGGGCTTGTGTCCCACCCCACTCTGTCCTTTTCCCCGCCTCCTTGTGCTGCTGAGAGGAGCAGGTTTGGCTTAACTAAGAGTAGCTTAAAACAAGCCAACTTCAAGTCATTGTTTCTAATGCTGGTGTGTTTAAACCATGGTTAACAAAAACCATATAAACCAGTTTGGATAACATGGGAAGCTATGGCAAACCCAATGCAAAAGTCAACATTTCCAAATTCCTCCTGGCTGTAGGGAAGGAAGACAAGGAAAGGGGGAGTGATGGAGCGCAGAAAAGGCTGAACTTGTTCATGTCTTGCTAAAGCAGGGGTGTCTAATATTTTTCAAAGGGACACAAGTGCCTTATAGGCCTCTCACTCTCACACACATGCGCATTCGTGCACATACCACAACACATCTCTAACACAGCTACACCTCTGGAAAAGGTTTACTATTACGATGACAAGTATTTTACTTTGGAACCTCTTCAACAATTAACCCGCAAACTGGAGAACAGACCACACACCCCATTGTAGGTTACACACATCATAACCCAGATGGATGGCCATCTGTCATGGATGCTTAAGTTGAGATTGCTGCACTGCAGGCGATTAAGCTAGATGACCCTTGGGTCACTTCCAACCCTACAATTCTAAGATCTTCTGCCAGTGGTCCTTGGATTTCTAACACCCACCAGCCCCAGCCAGCAAGGACAATGGTGAGAGATGATGGGAGCTGGAGATCCGGAACATCCAGCACTTGGGATCACTAGTTCCCTCACCCTGGGATACGCTGTCTTCTATGAAAGGCTATTCATTTCAGCCTTGCAT